AAGAATCAACCCTTTTGGGGCAAGTCCATCAACTGATTTCTTTATCGTCATCGATACGGCTCCAAGATGTTTTATGGGAATTAAATGCCTGGCCTCCAGCCGGATTGCCTGCCTATTGGGGCTGCTTCATCAGCAGTTGCTACAAAGTACGGATCGCAATCTCATAAAGCCAATTCGAATATTTGCTTAAGAATGCCATAAAAAGGGCACAGGGATAAGCCATAAAACCGTGTCTGGTACGAGGGATACTAAACATTTCCCTCCAAGCAACCTCTGACACTCACTGACACCCTAGGCCCCGATACTCGTAATAAATATGTATGTTTAGGTAATAAAAAAGTTAACTTGGAGTTCGTTAAACCAATGCCCGGACTCCAAGCCTAATGTAAGCCGTGCCTGTTCGACTTTTTTAATTGTACTTGGGCCAATAATTTTTTATTGCTTTTTAAACGCTGCGCTACGTGCAGAAAATAAAACAATTGTCGGGGTCACCATTATAGGGCGCCTTCCAGGCATCATCTAAAATAAAGCCAGTACCACAAATGTTGTAAACAACATATAATTTGATTGTTCGTTCGACGGGGTGTGGCGGGCATTTTCTAATTAAAATTTGTACTGCAAATGCTTTAATTAAAGCCGCAAGGTGAGCGCCAAACTTTATGGCCAATACAAATTTTGGGGAGGATTTTGTGCTGGCTGGAGTTATTCCAAATAACTTTTTCCAGACAAAGTTTACTTGGTAATTTATTGAGTTTGCATTCGAGGGCAGCTTTTAATTAGCAGAAGGACGAACGATTCTCACACCACGAAAAATCGTAGCTTAAGTAAATTGTCAACACCAACCGGAATGGGGCCATGCATTATGGAAGGAAATTTCGAAGGAAATTGGCCGAATGACCCAATCTCTGGAGTTCAAAACTTTTTATATTTTGTCTCACAAGTGACACACTGGAAACAGGAACAAGGAACAAGGGTTGAACAAGGATTGTCTTTAAATATTCAGTGCTCAGTTGCTTTTCTGTGGATTTGGGTTTTATTTCCATTCGATTTGATACCATTTTGAGGGAACTAAAATAAAGGCTCTCTTCTATAATGTGTGTACTTATGTATGTGTGTTTGATGTTCTTTATCCTTCTTTATTTATGTGTGAATGAATTCTTCTCCCAAGTAAATAAATCTTAGTCAAACTCAAGACCATTCAACCAATTCATCAATTGAGAACTTGCCCAACTTCACAACAGAATTCCTATCTATTTTTAGAGTATTCGATATTCTGAAACTCCCTTTTTGTTTGCGACTTTACCACTTGGCGATGACGAAAGAAATTTGCTGTGAGGGCAAAACTTGTTATTTTGCTCTTCAACTTGGTCCTGGTGCTGGAGCTGGTGCTGGTGCTGTTCCTGGGTTATCTCCCGTCCAACATCATAATCAGCAGCAGCATCAGGAGTGTACGTATAGAAGCGGCAACAGCAGCATCAGTGCCATCATCATAATTTGCTGGCTGCGCTTATCGAACGAACGCCAAAAAAGTTAAGAATAATGTACACTTCAACATTTGTGCCATAGTTTGAAAAGAAAAAATTCACCAAATTGCGGAAGGCATTGGCTGAACCCGTGGCGGCAGAGGAAACAAAGGCCCGAGCCGAAAATAGCAAACATAACTTGAGCGAAGAATTTTTAGAGGGCTTCATCTCATTTTTTTGGGTTATGGTAGAACTTCCATGTTCCTTTTGTTTGTCCTGTGAGTACGTACACAACGGTTTACAATCGTTGTGTGTGTGTGTGTGTAATACGAGCTGTGTAATGCAAATGAAATGAGATTTTGTTCAGCGAGGTATTCATTAAAGCGCGCCGATTCGGGGCCCACAAATTGCATTGGCCAATGGCCACTGGCCCCTGGCAGGCTCCACAGACTGCCAAATGTGCAAATATTTATAACTGCAAACAACAGTGGGGCAAATTCATTGGCTCTAATAGCCTACTGCCAGTTGGAGGAGCACAATGTGCGGTTGAACAGCTCTGCAGATATGCAGTATGTGTGTAGTAGTCGATTCCCATTTGGAATGCTCTTTGCATGGCCATGGCCATGCCCATTCCCATTAGCATCATCACCATCAGATTCGATGCTTCTGCCTGCGTGGCCAAGCTCTCGTTCCTCCTCCTACCCACAAGGCAAATTTGGTTGATAATGATTTGCATTTACGGGCATTACAGCAAACACATTTCTGGATGGTCGATGGTGGAGCCGAACTGGACCCGTTCCCGGCATGGACCTAGTTCGGATCGCTAATGCGAAATGGTTGGGATTCCTTGGACAGAAATGTATTTTTCAATGTAATTTATCTTCCTCAAATTGAACGGTTCCACAGACACATCCACGATAAGAGCACAACTGACGTTCATTGGAGGCCTAAAATGTCGAGAAAAAAGTGATTACCCTTAACTCCTCTCACAGTTAAAGTAAAGAGTAGACCATCATGTCGTCTGTTGACTCTAAAAATGTATGGTTCAATACAATTATCTAAAGATTTCTACTGACTTATTTACTTGGGATTTATTTACTTTATTTTGTGGATATGCGGGTGCTCGACTTTCCCAAATTGTGGCTTATGGGTTTTGTCTTTTAAGTTGTGCTGTTTACAGAAATGTGATACCACAAACACAACACAGTTGGACTTCACTCTGCCAAAAGTTAAGCCACGAAAAATACTTTCCCCGAACTTTAATGCTGCAGGGCGGTATCTTCCTACAAAAAAATATGTTGAAAAGATTGAAAAGTTCAAGCTGAATGACCCAAGTGCAGGGCAAGAGTAAGTAGAGGAGCTACTTCGAGACATCAAAGACATAAAACGCACTCACACTTTCCGAGAAGAGAAGGGTAGAAAACTCTCCACAAACAGAACGGGAGCTGAGTCCTTCAGTAGTGAATGGGAAAAGGGAACAGGAGCACATTTTCCATGGAAGAAAGGGAAACATCCTATATAAGGGAAAGTGAGACCACGAAGAAAGACTGTCTCGCTGTTAACCCAATTAAAGGGGCGTGGGTCAGCATCAAGAACAGAAAAAATCCGTTACACGACAAACGGTCAAGTCTGCGCCGGATGTCATTCGGTGCACTCGTCTCTGTGTTTCATGTAGTCTCGAGTCATTATGCCAGGGGAGTTGTCCCCAACAAAAAGCAAACAAATTTTGAGAAAGTTCAAAAGAAAAGACAAAAAATAAAGTGAAATTAGGATATCCGATATCCGAACCGAGAAACACCCTGTAAAACGGAGTCATTTTTTATTATCAGGAAAATATTCATGATTTAATATCACGACATTGCCTGGCAGAGTATAATGTTTTATCAAATGTCCTTAATTTTTTTGCAGTCAAGGACAACATCCTTTGACAAAGTATGAGCTGACTGCAATAATTCGATTGTGTGACAGAGAACGAATCGAATAAAAATTCAAATGAAATCTGCTCTGAAATGGAAGCGATGGGAGAGACAAATTTGAACCGATATTGAATATATTTAGCCTAGAAAAAATACAAATAAATGTTAGATGAAACTGCCACGCTGAGAGTGTTCACTTGACTTTCACTTTTGTCATTTTCTTGGCTTTCGCTTTGTTGTTGCTTATCTTAAAGTTTTATTTTTTCTGGTCCATTTTTTTTGTGTGTTATTTTATGCTGGATTTTATTTTTACTCTGCTCGAGCGTTGAGTGTTGAGCGTTCAGCAAGGACATTTCCAACTGGCTTCATCTTGTTTGACTTTTCCTGCCTTGACGGGGGAGCTTGCTGAGTTGTTGGACTTAAGGCAGAAGCTCCCTCTCGCCTTTCGGGCCACCATTCCTTCCGACTGGCTGTCGTCGGGCGAGTCAGTCATCAGCATCAACATCAGCAGCAACATAGTGAAAAATATTTACTGCCTTTCTTTCTATCAGCCGTCTCTCTCTTTCCTTGCTTTGTGTACCCATCTCTCTCTCCTACTGTTTCTTGTAAATTGCTTCGCTTACGTCCAACCAACACGATTTGCCTTCTTACTCCTCCTCCTCCTCCTCCTTAAGCTTCGCCTTGACAGGACAACGACAAATTTTACGTGTTGTTTCTTATTTTTACTTCATACTTTTGTTGGTTTTATTTTTTGGTTTGTTTTTTTTATGCTCTCAGTAGACGGAGATGTGATTTCCACTGCAATAAAATAGACTCTCTACCTTAAAGGCTTTATGGCCCCTGGAATTCGCCAGTTTATGGTTTCCGTTGTTTTTATGCACTTCACCAGTCCTCATTTTTCATTCTCCATTCTCGTTTTGGTCGGGCTCTAAGTTTTTGGCTCATTTGTGTTTCCCTTTCGTCACTTTGATGTCCTGCGATGGGTCAGAGTTGGAGTTGGAGTTGGAATTAAAGTGGAGCCTAAATTACCATAAAAAATATTAAATTATTTATGCATATCGCAATTGAGGAAATTCTTTTGCTGGTCTCCCTCTTTTGTTAGACCTCCGTCAACTGAGGGTCAAGACGGTATCCGTTGGGTTACATTAAATCTGGGACTCTGGTTTCTTTTGGGGTTTATTTTGTCAGTGGCTATTGTTAAGCTTGTGGATGGAGGTTTAGAGATTATAAGTTCATTTAGTAAGGGACTACATAATACTTACTTTGAGGACAGTAAATGGACGTGTATTGGCGAAAAGAGACTGCTCTTAACGTGATGAAGCTGTGAAGAGTCGGACACTTTCCGTTTATTATAATATAGGTATGGCAAAACGATTTAGATGCAATATGTTCAAACATATTTTTGATCCTAATGCCAAGCAAACATTTTTCAGATCAAACTAAATTAATGAAAATTATAACACCCAAAGGGGTAGAGAGATAGGAAAAATTGCATTATATTTACGCAGATTTTAAAACACACACCATGTAATTAGCCTAGTTTTGATACCAGATAGAACACTGAGATGTCAATTGAGTTTCACATGATTTATTGAATGCATTTTATTTATGAATTTCTTGCTGATTTCTGTGTTAAGTTTTTAGAATTTTAATCATTTTCTGACAATAATCTAATTATTGATTCGTTTTCACAACTTGAAATGGCGAAATTCCGCTCGTGTATCTATGACTAAAATATTCATGTACAGTAGATTGAATTGTATGGGAAGTACGGGGAGTACGAGTGCGAGTATTTGACACCCAGACATGAGAGTTATGGTAACATTTAACCTAATCATAGAATCCTACTTCCATCTCCCGCCGTCTCTGCTATTTACAAGGCCGCCTTTAATTAATCTCTAACCTAAATTACGTAACTGCAGATGGCGCAAAAGCTTACAAATAATTGGAAGCTGGACAGCAATGTCCGCAGCATCCAAGTCAGCATCCTCAACCATGTGTCCGTGCGTCCATGCGTCCCGTCTATTCAATAGTCGAGTCACGTCTGGGGTGTGTGCAACGGTCCCTGCAGCGCCCCAAGGAGTCCCAAGAGTCCCAGCATCCAAAGCATCAAGTGGGACGTGCTTCTCCCGCTGGTGCTCGTCCTTGTCTTTGTCCACGACGCCGTTGACATGATGGCCGATGCGGAATATTCACCTGTTGGGCAATCCGTAATTCGTGGTGACGACAGTTGCGATTAATATGAATCATTCGACCTGACACACATTTTGTGTGATGGCAGGGGGCTATGGAATGGGACTTACCGCTGAGGACGTGCAAGTCCACTGAGACGGAGACACTGTTTGATGGCTGGCACGTATAATTGCCGGAATCCTCTTTACGCACGACCGGTATAATTAATGAACCGATCTGCAATCAATGTGTATCGTCAGTGGGAGCTAACTAACTGCCTGGCCCGTAAACACTTCACTTACCGTATTCTGATTATCACCCACTGTCCCGAAGATATTGCGATCGAGCTGTGTGTACCACCCAGTCCGCTCATCGCTTTCGCTCACCTTCTTCTGGCCCCGGAACCAGATGATGTATTTCGGTGGATCCAGAGTCCCCCGCACGATGCAGTGCAGGGCCACCTTGCTGCCGGCCTTAACGAAGCGACTCTGATCCCCAATCAGCTCAGTCTTGGGTGCTGTAAGATTGGGAATATACTTTCGTAAATTAACGCTATACTTGGATCTTCGAAAAGTACTCACTGACTATCTCCAAATGTACTTTGGCACTGAGCTTCGGTTCGGTGGCCATTTGGCACTCGTAGCCGCCCGCATCGTCGGGCACTACGTACTTGATCTGCAGCGACCAGGTGTAGTCATGTTCTTCCTGGAAGATCGACTGGAAACGCTCATCCGCTATAAAGGTAGTCTCGTCCACACTGATAATGTGGTTGTCGCGCATGCGCACCCACGAGACGGGCTTGTCGGAGAGGCGATGTATCTGAAAAGAAGAATCGAAAATTTAATCAGAAGATATAAATATGCTGCGTATTCATTAGCAGTTAATACTCGTAAGTAAGCTCCTTATGAACGATTGCCATCTCAATATCTGACATAATCATTCAGACATCAATTTATCAAGCACAAGCTTGGGCAAACTATCATTTGCATAACTATTATTATGTAAAACCTTGGCCAATCTGCCGCTAATGAGCTTTCACGCATTTCATTCGCTGTCAACTAATCCATACATGAATAATTAGCAAGGACCCGGACAGAGAATGGCACTAATCCGAGCACGTTGCCCTGTCGTTCTGGTGTCAGGTTAAAACATCTGATGGCTCAAGCGCATCAACGGACAGCAAATCAGATCCAAACGAATCTCTAACGCCATGAAATGGAAATGAGATGGGAGGTGGATGGAGGTGCTTATGTTTTTGCTGAAATATTCTCATAGTTATGTGTGTCTTTCCTTTTGCTTTTGGGCTCATCTTCGTGGCGTGTTCTGTTTGGGGTTTCTTTTATTTTCCGTTTCCGGTTCTGTTTCTGTTCTGTTTCTGCTCCTGGTTGTGGTCCGACACAGATCAGCATAATTTCATTTGCATATCAACAATTCATTCTGTTTACGTTTATTTTTTATGACGCAAACAAGGCTCCCGGCACCAGACACTGAGCCAAGAACCAGCCCCAAGCCCAAGCTCAGGACCAGGCATCTATTTAACGTTTACAATTCCATACAATTTATTTATTTTTGTTCACCCACTCTCATTCTGTTATGTTTTGTTGTGGGATTGTGCTCTACAGATACAGATACAGATACAGATACAGATATGTACATATGTATAATATCTGAGGAGGAAGAAACACCTACAGACGCATGTAAATGAATGCCTGTTGTGGCTGAATTTGAAATCATTTCTGCACAAATAAGTGTGCCTCTAGGTGGATGTGTGAAAGTCTGCGCCCGTATCCGTGCCTGAGTGTTGGTGTGTGTGTGTGCAATATGTAAATGCTAGTTTTATCTCCGGTCCGTTGAAATTAAAAAGGAATTCAGAAACAGTCAGCAAGTGAGAAAAGGATGAAGAGCCCGCTCCACTGTGAGACATGCAGTCTGTCTTACCCTCGTCAGTAACTGAGTCAGGGTCGTTCTACATTGAGTGGTTACAGTTTTCATCATTGCCCACCAAGTCTCATGCAACTCAGAGCTTTAAGTATTGGCTTATCCCCTTAAACTTAGTCAGAGTGATTAGGATTTTGGGAAGCAAGTTTTTAGACAAGCTTTGAAAGTGTCACAGCACTTTCGTGCAGTTAATTGAACTTGATTGTAGGGAATTTAAAAAAAAGGCAAAGGGAATATGAGCACCATGTGTACCGAAGTTCATGTCTATGGGTTTTGGTTAGGTTATGAAGAACAGTAGTGACAGTCCGTAGGCCAGAGAGGTGCAGACAGAGGCCTTTATCATGGGCTAAGACAACGTGGGGTTAAAATAACTTAAGCAGATTCGGGAATAATCATTTGGAAATCTACGGCACGTTGATCTGGTATATTTTATAGGAATTGGGCAACTCTCTTCGCTGTGAAATTCGAGCCCCAAAACCATCATGTAAAATGCCACTCTTTAAGCACTCTTTAAGCGGATTAGCCGTTCTCGCAGCTATGTATTTATGACACGTGACATTTAATTCAAATTTAATATTCGCAATTAAATGTAAGCGCATATTAAAAACCCTTTTACGAGCGATACCTTTAAGGCTTAGCTGACTTACATCACGCGCCCTAACCAAGCCCCCATCAACCAGCCAAAGCCCACACCAAACCCAGAGATTATGCGACACACAAGAATGGTGGTGGTAGGGGGGATTGTGGGGCCGAGTGGGACAGGAAGAGAGAGTGATAGAGAGAGATTACTCACTCACCTGGCATGGCATGTAGGCGTGATTCCCCATTTGGGCGGTGATGTTTAGCACCGGCATTGTCAGGTTCCGTCGGACTGGCTGCCCGTCCCCGTCGACTGCCGCCCGGTGGGCGGCCAAGTACGAATGCTGCTCATCAAACATTCGCCGTCGCTGCTCCTCTGGCGACAATGTCGCTGCCTCCGCTGATGCTGCTGCAGCTGCTGCGGCTGCTGCTGCTTTTGTTTCCTCTTCCACGGCTGCCGCGGCAGCAGCCGCCGCATCGGCTGCAGCGCGGTAAGCTGGCAAATCCGCTGCCGCGAAAACGGGAAACGGCGGCAGGAAGGTGGGTATGGAGAAGCCCTTGGTCAATGAATCAGCCCCACCCGGATGCGGTAGCGACAGTGGCCGCAACGAGTTCTTTTCATCATCCTCAGCAGGCAGCTCTGCTCTTTCCACTGCCGCGTTTTCCAATTCCTTGCTCTGGTTCTCTGCTGGCAGCGTTTCAATGGAGTTGTGGCCATCCGTTTCCGTTGATGCTGGATAAATTGTTGATATGAGCATCGCTGCTGTCGCTTCAGCTGTTGTGGTCGCTGTCGTACGCTCTTCTGATGCTGCTGCTGCTGCTGCTGCTGCTGTTGTTGCTGTTTCTGCGGCTGCATTTGCTGTCTGTGGCGCTTTCTCTATTTGCTCTAGTGCTTGCTCTTCTGCGTACCGAGTATTTAGCCCAATTTGTGGTGACTTGGTCGCTCCTATCGTTGCTCCTTCTGCTGCTGCTGATGACACGCCCCGGGCTACGGCCGTGCTTGTTTCCCCTTCGCTCGGGCTCGTTGAGGCTGCCTCGGTTTCTGCTGTTTGTTTTTTTGCTGTCGTCAAGTTGCTGGCTGTCGTAATTAGATCGTTTTGTGTTGTCATTGGCCTATCTGGCAGTGTGGATCTCGGGGCTGCCATAAGCTCTGTCTGTGTTTGTGCCGCTGCCTGTACCTGCCTGACTGCTGGTCCTGGCTGTACGCTTGCCTGTGGCTGTGGCTGTGGCTGCGGCTTTGCCTCGCTGCAGGTGACAAGCTCTGTGGAGCATGCAAAATAAACCAGAAATTGTTTGGACAATCCTTGAATTAAAGCAAAATATTTAACGAGAATTTTGTGGAAAGATTTGGGAAAATTCCGGCACTTTTATTCATAAAATTAAATGGAAATGTAATAAAGAATATAATGAGATATTTAAATTACGTTTGATATTCAAACTGTGATATTTTCTAAGAAGCTTGAAAGCTGGAACTCAACACTTGTTCATCCCAGCAGGAGTAAAACATAAATTGGCTCAAATTTCCTTTCGTTTAAATTTAACTTTTTAATTTCTGACATAATCATGTTACAAAAAACCTGTTTATTGAAACGAATTTGATTTAATTTAAGCCCAATAGATCCAATTATAATATTGTATTGAATTTGAATATTCAATACTGCCCATATTAAAGGCGTACTTTTAAATAATTCATAATTCATAACTGTAGGCAGAAGTTGAAATTAAATTTACTCGCAAATTCACACTTTTCCAGCCAGAATCAAAGAGGACACGGCAGTGTGTTTCGTTTACATTTAATGAAATTTACTTTAAATTGAATTCAAATTAGCTTTCAATGCTTCCTACTATATCTGCCTTAGGATTAGGATTTTAAATAATTTGTCTGTGCTGTCCAACCCTTTGCGCATCCTTCCGAAATGATTCCCTTCCCTTTTTGCAACTTTTCAAACATGGCTATGGTTTGCGTTTTCGCTTTATTTTCAACTTAAATCAACAAATTATAATCTTTATTATTTGAGAGTTCATCCCCTTAAAATCTTTTTGTAAAAAGCGAAAACAAATATTGAAAATTTATTTTCAAATTGAAAAAGTTATCAATAAATGAGTGTAATAAATTCTAGTGGAATCACATCAAAGCGAAAATTAAGAAATATTATTGCAATCCTCTTATCCACGGAGCATGAATTGAAATTCCAATGAAATGTCAACCTCTCTCTTTCCCTCTCTGTCTCACTTTCTCACGGATTCTCTGAAACTCTCACGGTTCTCTTTCAGTGTTTGTGTCACACACAGTCGCACATGTATTCCGTTTCAGTTAATTTTCAATTACGCTTTTATGCTAATTAAAATCATAAAAATTTGCCGCTTAATGTCACTGCCTGTGGTGGCTTTCGTTTCATTTTGTTTCTTTTTCTCTGTGGCAGTTTTTTTTTAGTGAATAAAAGTTGTTTGTTTTTTTGTTACTTTTGGCTGCCTTTTTCCATTTCCTTGCCCGGTCTCTGTTTCCCTTTTAAACTTTTCCTTTTTATGTTTTCCCACTGTGCCGCTGTGCCCTAGAGGAAACTCACCGACAAAAAAGAAATGGTAACTTTAGCTTCATAATCATTTCATATACACGTGTACTCCCAGCGTCCTTGGCCTATGGTTCGGGGGAAATTAAAGTCCCATACCACGCCATACGCCACCTGGCTTTAATTACCAAACTGAAATGCAGCACAGCAGCGTCAATATTTATATTTGTTTTATTTAATTTATGATATGTTTGAATTTAAATTGTAATTATTATCCAGTCATAAATTTGTCATCCGTATCTGTTCGATGTTTGTACAATTCATGACCGAAACTAATTTAATTTTTAAAAGCGGTATTTATGGATTACAAAGTGCATGTTCGTTTATGGAAGCTTACAAAAAATGAAGCGAATTTTTCGTGAACCGTTCTAAAAGGTATTCCACAGTCGAATTCCCAGTGCATGGCCCTGGAATGCTGAACTTTTTGTTTTCTTTTGTGCAAATAAATTGAAGGCCCATCAATTTGTGCAAAACTTTTTTAAAAGATTACAAAGCTAATAACTTCAGGCAATAAATATCCAAAGACCAAGCAGAAAAAGAAAACATCTCCCAGAACTAGCCGAAAACCACAGGAATGATTAGCTCAACACTCATCCCAGAATCGGAGGAACTTTCTTTTTTGAGCAACTTTCTGCACCGACACTCAACGCAGGACATGTTTGTCTTGGGGCTAAGCATCCACTAATTTGTGGGGGTGTGTACCAAGAATAGCTAGCAGACTTGAACTTGGCAGCAAAGGCATTGAAGTGAAAAGTTTTTGAGCAAACCACAAAAACAGGCAACAAGAGGAAGAGAAATGAGGACTGCAATTGAAATCATTTCAGTTTCACCAAGTCGGAGTACGAGTAATTCTATAAATTTGTCGTTTGATTTTAGAAATTATTTTAGAAATTATTTTTTATGATGAAACTTGACAATAAATATTATTTTATTACACGAAAAGTTTTGACCCTAATCACGCAAAGAAACCAAAAAAGAAAAACCCGAACACATCCAGAAAATCCTTTTAATATCCCTTCCATGGATCTCTCACCATACGTTGAACCGGTCATATCCACTAGCGTTAATTTTGATTAACATTTAGCCTGCATAATGAACCTTCTACCTTCAATACCTTCATATTGAAACCAGGACTCATTTGCGGCTACCTTCAGCCCAAGTCCCTCCCTTACCCCTAAGGAAATCCCGGACAAGTTCAATGCTCAATGAGTTTGTGGGCAGTGAGGCTTTGTGCTGATTTCAGGGCTAAGATTTCAGTGGCACGATAAAATAGAATTTGCATTTTTAAATTATTTCATTTCACGTTCTTGTCAGGGCCCATGATTTAGGTAGGGCAAGCCAATTCAACCATTCCGGTGGAATCCGTTCTCGTGTTACCTTCAGCTTCAGTTGGCCAGAAAATCTACGTGTCTCGCTGGCGAGAAAGGATGGAAAGAAAAAAGAGAATCCACACAGGGCAACCGCATAAATTTCCCTCACGAAATCATTTCCACCGAATGCGTGTGATTTGCCTGTGTTGATAAGGTCCAAACGAATCCCAGTTTCAGGCTCTGGCAAAAAAAGGTACCCAACGAATGTGAAATTTTTGTTAAAATGCAAATTGAAAATTTCACTAGCCCACACCGTAAAGAAAAAACAAAATAGTAAATTTAAAATCCACCACTGAGCTGTACACTTTTTCCTGTGGTTTGTTTTGCTCTTTATTTGGGTTTTCAAGACTTGCCATGCTTGGATCCAATACTGAAAGAGATCCAACCAAACCCAGATAGAAAGTGTTGCTCAAGGCAGAGTTTGCGTTTTCAATTAAAACCGATTTAGCCGGCAATCAATTCGGTTTTGATTTCCTCCCAAAGGACCAAACCAACTAGCCAAACAATGAAAAAAAGAATTTTATTTTTGTGCAAAACTGAGTATTTGTAATTCGTTAGGAGCAAAGAGAATTTATTTGATGTTACGACTGCGCAGTACCTTCTTATTTCGGTGTTTATTTTGTCTGTATCATACAGCTACAAAAAGACGGCATACTCTTTGACCTCCCTGGATACCCCTTGCGAAAAACATGGCAAAAGAAAGGCACAAGAAGCAGGACGATGCCACAAAACTATGCCCCTTAAGCCGATTAATTTTCTGGGCTTTTGCCGTGTTCTCCCTTTTGTTTGCTTTAGCACGGGAGATGAAAAAAGGCCTCAGCATGAAGTGTGATCTAGCCATTTACCGCACTTGACGATATCCAGACAGACAGACAGACGGACAGGCATCCAGATACACAGCAGATAGAGTGAAACGTGCAATAACATTCAAATTGTTTTCTTACTCTCACTCGTCGCTCAGGGATTGCCATTGCCCGTTGGCATGCCATGCCTCTCGAACGACCCCCATTTGTGGGTGCTATTCGTCCGGTGAGATTGGAACTAAAGTCCATATTTTAAGCCAGAATAAACTGCTCGCTCGGCTCAGCTCGACTCGACTCGACTCGAACGCCAGCTGAATAGTAATGCTCACAAATTAGGCACACGGCTGGTTCAAAAATTACTCAAATTGCCTTTCCACTCGGCAGCGATAGAGTGAGACAGAGAAAGAGACACAAAAAACTACCAACAAGAGCAGCGGCTGCACCAGAAGCAGTTTTTGCAAATGAGTGTGTGGTGTGTGTGAGTGTGTGTGAGTGTGGGCTTATGTAAATTGTGAAATTGGTTTAGACAACTACAAAATGTGGCGCCGCATTAGACTGGAAGACCATCAGCATCGTCAATGTCATCAGCTCCGGCGAACAGTTGCACAATGGGTGACAGCTGGCGGAAAAGTGAACAAAAGTTCAGACAGACTCCAGTGAAGAAGGAACCTGTTTCAATGATGGTCCAATATGCCCGATTCTAAATCCATTGACACCCTCTGTTCAAATGCAAATCCTTATTTTCGTTTGTGTTGCTCCACCTTTTTCATTTACTTTTCCAAAAAAGATATTTTAAGCACAACAAAATGTGTCATACAAAAAAAAGAAGACTACGTCCTTTGGGCATTTCCATAAAAATAATTAAAACAACATTTTTAGCAGACCAAAAACTGTGTATAAAATCACATAATGACCCAGGGCAATGCAAAAGTTATTCATACAACGAAAAACCAAAAAGCTTTCAAAACTATTCTCATTTAATTCTTTCAAAACTGTCTAAGCCCTTCCCATTGTACAGGGCACTGCCATATGCCATGCACCAGCACTGCTGGTTCGTGGCAATGACGCAGTCACCTGATGGGTTTGAGAATCAGTGAGACGGAGGGATAGGTCCAGACTCGACCATATGGCGCTTTGACCCCTTAGTTAATATTTCATGGATTTTGCCTTTTATGGTGTCCACAGAGAAAGAAGAACGCAAAAAACTGATTGGATTTAGTAGCTGAAGCTGAACATTTTCCTATAATATTGATTAACTTTGCAACAAATAAAATGAACGGCAGTTTAATTAAATTAAATATTTGCTTTTATGCATTTTGTTTATCATTATTTTCAGATATTTTTAGATGTTTTTTGTTTAGTTTTCTGCATAAATTTGTGTATAAAGAAATGTATTTGAATTTCAAATAAATACTAATAATAACTGAGGAACGTTCAAATTGTTTTTTGCGGAATTTGTGTGTGGGGAAAAAACTTTAATTGCAAATTATAAAAACCTCTCCTGAGGCTGAATTTCCA